CAAATTGCAAAAAAAAAATTCTTTAACATAATATATTCTTATATTACTAAAATATTATAAGTTTATGTTATATTTAATATTGTTAATTTAACATAAATGCTTATAAATATTATTCATTCCATTTTCTCATAAATATTCAAATTGCAAAAAAAAAAATTCTTTAACATAATATATTCTTATATTACTAAATATTATAAGTTTATGTTATATTTAATATTGTTAATTTAACATAAATGCTTATAAATATTATTCATTCCATTTTCTCATAACAATTCAAATTGCAAAAAAAAAAAAATTAATATAATATATTCTTATATAACTAAATATTATAATTTTATGTTATATTTAAGATTGTTAATTTAACATAAATGCTTATAATTATTATTCATTCCATTTTCTCATAACAATTCAAATTATTCTCATCTAATCCATTCTAGTAAATAACAACAAAAAATTATCAAAATAACAACAAATTAAAAATAACAATTAGAGTGCAAACAAAATTAATTTAACATAATATATTCTTACATTACTCAATATTATAAGTTTATGTTATATTTAATATTGTTAATTTAACATAAATGCTTATAAATAATATTCATTCCATTTTCTCATAACAATTCAAATTATTCTCATCTAATCCATTCTAGTAAATAACAACAAAAAATTATCAAAATAAACAACAAATTAAAATAACAATTACAGTGCAAAAAAAATTAATTTAAACATAATATATTCTTAAATTACTCAATATTATAAGTTTATGTTATATTTAATGTTGTTAATTTAACATAAATGCTTATAAATAATATTCATTCCATTTTCCCATAACAATTCAAGTGACAAAATTAATTAATTCGCCTAAATATGAATTAATTTAACAAAAATAATAGAAATTTATCTAACTACTTAAATTCCAATTTTTAAATAAATAAACTTGTGTATTATACAATTTAAAAATTAAAGAATTTAGTGATAGAAACCTGAATTATAGAAGAATTCCGTCGTCGATCAATTCTTTATATACTCAACCAGCTCAAATAAATTCCCTACAACAATAAATTGTATCAAAACATTAAACATAAGAGGAGAAAATAAAAATACTACAAGCAAGAAAAACTTACCTTTGTGAAGAATGAACTTGGATGAACTCGCAAGGTGAGAGAGAGAACAGCAGAAGTTTTGTAAACCGTGAGATAAATGCAAGTGAAAACGAAGAAAACACGGGGGAGGGAATATAAAGACCATCAGTCTGTCGCTTACAACCGTTACTGGGTTTCAAAATATTTAAAAAAATAAAATGTATGTCGCTCAGAACCGACGTAGGATTTAAAATATATAAAAAAATCAATTAGTGTCGCTTCTATATGCGACACTCATACTTTATGTCGCTTAAAAGCGACACTGTTTTATTTAAAGCGACGCCAGTATTAAAATTATTAAAATGTGTGTCGGTTATAAGCGACATTAAATGTTTACGTCGTTTAAAAGCGACGTAGGCTTTCTAAAACCGACGTCATATTCAGTGGGTGTCGCAACTCTCTTGTGCGCCACTATATTATATTAAACCGACGCAACAACTGACACTATAGGGCCCTTTTGTAGTAGTGTTAATTAAGTCAATAAAATTATATTTTACATATTAATGTAAGTAAATTATTTCTCACACACACACACATATATATATAAATGCCTGATATATGTAAAATTCATGCAAAATAATTTACCTACAAAAAAAAATTGATTCAAATAGTGCACCTACTATTAAAATTTTAAAATGTTAGATTGCTTAAAAAAGAAAAATAATATACCAAGTATATGTAAAATACATGAAAAATAATTTACCTACATAATAACAAACTCATATATGCAAAATACATGCAAACTAATTTACCTTATAAATTCATTGTTTAATTTTTAAAAGAAACAATGTTTCTACTAGGTTTTTTTTTCCAAAAATAAAGTCCGTATTATTTAATTTTTACGAAAAATTGTGTACCTATTGTGTAATTTAAAAAAAATTACATATTGTTTATTTTTTTTATGAAAATAATGTAACTATTGTTTAGTTTTTACAAGAAACAATATATCTCCTAGTTTATTTTTACCTTTTTTTTTTTATTTTCACAAGTTAATGTATCTACTTTTTTCAATAGAATGTATATTGAATTAGTTAGATTTGGATTAGGCGATTTCACATAAAAGAAGAAAAGAACTTCTTCTTTTAAAAAAAAAAATTAAAAGAAAAAAAAAACTTCAACTAATTGAATGTTGTTGACAAACAAAAGAGAATAAATTAAAAGTCTACAAAAAAACTGTAATAGCCATATTAATGTTGGTGGCATGGTGTTGTAAATAAATTTAAATGTATGGACATCTTTTATCTTACATGGCATCAAATTCAAAATTTGGGTTTTATTTAGATGTTTTAATATAGGTGGGTTTATGTCTAAAGTTCAACAGTTTTAAGGAGCTAAATCTAAAACATTAATTTACAGCCTGTTGGCATTTGGCACATTTTGCCAACTAAAGTGGAGAAGAAGCAAACCTACTAGACGTGGGAGGATGACGAAGGTATTCTTATGCCCGACAACCTAACCACCAACATGAATGATGGTGGTGAATTGAAACTGAAGATAAAGCAGTTGAAGCCTTCTTTGGCACGAATGACGCATGAGAAGGATATAGTAGACAGGAAAATGTAGAGAAAGATCGAAGAGTTGACGACGGCTGTGGAAGATTTAAGAAAGGAAGGTAATCAAAAGCGGTGGAGGAGTCCAGTGAGGAAGAAATGGAGGCGGAAGCGGAGGAGGAATAAATGGAGGATTCTCATGAGGAAGAAAGTGAGGAATCGAGAGGGAAAAACAGTGAGGACATGAGGAAGACAATTGAGTTGGATGAAAAAGAAGATGGTCTGAACGTAGTACACGAGACTGTTGATAGGGATAGTCTACAGATATTTATGCAAAGCTTGTTGAGATGTTGGGAGAAGCACTACTAGACTGGTATGAAGAAGTTGAAGTTCCGATTATAATGGTGACGAAATGGTATTCACTTTTCACAGGGATCATCTGAGAACTAAAAGTAAGGTTTGCTTGACAAGGGCGACGACCAAAGCTAAGGTGCATGGAAAGAAAAATAATAAAAAAAAAAGAATCGCAAAGTGGCCGTAGATTATACGGGGATGGTCTTTTACGGATTTTTTTTCTGGGAATTCTAGAGATTTCGTTATCAGAACCGTCTATCGTACATCATACGGTAAAAAATTATTTTAAAATTTAAAATTTAAAATTAAATATAAATAATACTTAAAAAAATTGATCGCACGATGCAGGTCAACCCTTGGAGGACTTGGCGCACAAAATTTGATGAATATGTACCTCACATTTGGAGGACGTGATAAATTATTGTGAAGAGGGATTAATTTGATCCCCGGCACTGAAGAAGATATTGTTCTTACTGTACATCCGAGTAGTAACCTTGTTAACTATCCAAAATGTTACCTAGGAAATATTTAAGGGACACTTTAGATGCGATCTCTAATTATTAATATTTTTTTACTAAAATCTTTGTGATTTTTAGTTTTTTATTGAAGTTTCTGACATTAATGTAATAATGTATTTCTATGTAGGTTATTTTATTTTTAAACTAAAAATAAAATTTGTAGTTATTTATATTAATAAGATTTTAAATAAAACCCATAATTTATGGGATTAAAATATTAAAGATAAATTATATTCTCCAATATATTATACGTATACATGGGTACATTCATAAAAAAATTAACCAAAAGATTATTGTACCAAAACATGGGTACATTTTTCAAAAACACAAAAAAAAAAAAAGAAGAAGATATTAAGCTTAATAATTATTAAGCATTTCTTCTATTAAACTTGACATGGATACATTCTTAAATCAACGAAATAGAATGTACCCATATCAGTTTAAAAAATTAGATTAGAGAAAAAATTGAATGAATTTTTTATAAAAAAAAATGGGTACATTTTATATTAAAAAGGGGTAAATTTTTCATACAACAAATTGGTACAAGTTGGTATATTTAAGACTGGGTACATATCATTTTTTTTATATAAAAATTTAATGGGTACAAACTTATTCTAATTTTCTTTTTTATATTTTAGAAATGTTTGAATTGAAATTAATTACGAGTTTAATAAGGGTGTGAGTATTCAAACTCTAAATCAATTACTATTTTTTATTATAAAAATTATGTAACTTACATGTAATTCATTAATATATTAATGTTATGAACTTTGATCAAAATCTAAAAACTAATAAGGTTTTAGTCAATGAACATTAAAAACTAGAGACCGAATATTAATTTTTTCAATATTTAAATATTGATGTGCTCTTGTAGTTCTGGGAGTTTTCAAAGTATTTTCTACGCTTTTTAAAGCAAAAACAACTAATATTACAATGCATATCCACGATTACAACCGAAGTCAAGACAATTAAAAGTAAAAGCCTGCCTAGCCATAGGAGGAGCGGCATCATCCGTCCCATTGATAATGTAGCCAATAGAATTGATGGTATAAGCTACGAAATTAGCTTTTCTAAGCATGCATGTACTTTATTTTTAACATGGAAATTGTTAATTACAACCTCCAAATGACTAGTATTTAAGTTGGTATTCCACGTATTATAAAATAAGTGAAGAGACATAAAAAAATATGTCACTTCCATCACTTGTATTATGGCATGTTAAATACCATTTACCCAATACTTGAAAAAACATCTCTCTAAGATGCAAACATGGTTTTCAAAATTGCTGCAATGTGTCAATTTTATCGTTAATACACTCGTATGTTTGAAATCACATCAACTTAAACGTCTCTCTGATCGACTGTCTATTGGAATTGGAATCGTGTCTTAAAGTTTAGAAGTTGTTAAAAAAAAAATTATTAAGAAATATTTTATGAAGTTAACTTAAGATTTTTTAGAATTAGTTAAATTATCACTAAACTATTTTTATTCTAAAATTAAAAATATCACTGCAATGCATTCACTAATGCATAGATAATTTTATTACAAAGCTATTTTTTTATTAAAACAAAACAAGGACAGAAACCCCCATGGTGGATTAGGGTTCAGTCATTTATTCTCTTTCAAACAAACATAACAAAAAAAAATAAAAAAGTCATTTGTTCCCATGCATGCATCCAAACATACGTTAGTTTTTTATGACTTAACATTTTTTAGTGCATACACATTTTCTCCGGAAGCCAGTGCATTTGCCTCCCATAAGTCCCTGTTGTTTGCATATAGCTGCACAATAGCTTGACCTACAAATACCAGGGTACTTCTGGCTCGGAGACTCACAGGTCTTCGACAGCTTCACATTCTTCGACGGCTTCCCTTTTGTCTTTCCCTCAGCAACCATTGGCCTCGTTCCTGCCAAACATGCATCAATATATGATCCCGTAAAATCTCGGTTTTCGTTCTCATCAATGGGAGAATGAGTATTTGAACTCATAACTTCTTCTAACTTATATAAATTTTATGTCATTGTTAGATATAAAGATGAAGTTAAGATGAGGAAAGAGAAAGATACCAATAGCCACCAGAAGGAGGACAAGGATAAAGACAGTCGAAAACAAACGCCTGGAACATTCCATCTTAATTTTGTGTGTATGTGTGGTTGTGCACACGTGTGAAACAAATGAGATAAAGAGCTGTTGATTCAAAGGATTAACCTTGAAAGTCTTTATATAAAGTTGGTATGACAAAATTTATATGTATTTCTGTAAAGGGCGTTTCTTGGTAAAAATAGAAAGCTTATGAAAAATTTCAGCTCCGAGAGTCAAGAACAAAGCCCCATTTTGGTTGGCTCACCATTCTTTGGCATCCTACATTTGAGGAGAGACAATGGCTCTATTTCTCCTTAAATTGAAATATTGCTTTTTTTGGTTGCAACGTAGGAGTTTGAACTCTGAATCCTTAGCCTATTCCTACACATGACCCTACTTACCCTTACCATTAGATTAACCCAATTGAAATTGATGTATTAAATTGTTGAAATGGTTCCTATATTTTTTCTCACAATTGTCTCTTTCTTTTTTTTTTCTTTCTTTTTTTCTCTCAAAGCACATATGTTTGATTTTTATTTTACTTACTTTGATATTAACCTTTTTTAATGGGTAAAGTTTTCTAGCCAAATTAAAATGTGGATTAATACTTAAGCGCTCACTTAATTCCTTAAGAATCAAAGAGAAATTTTTCGGTATGCTGACTCTTTTACTACTTCACCTCGACGGTTATGTCACGATATTCTTAAAGCCTATATGTGATGGATAGACTCTTGTAACCGTGACATATTTGCTTATTTGGACATAAACATAATTTAATTTCTTTCTAAATGAAAGGGGATGTTTAATTCCACAATAGAAGTATTTTTATGAGGTACAACTATAAATTCCTCTTTATTTGTTACTGAATCGACCATAGACCAATTCCCCCAGCATACTAAGTGTAAGAATACAATTGGTTGGAAATTTTTATTCAAGTTTCCAACCAATGGTATGATTACACTTGGTGTCTCGATCGCTTTCCGACACACTAATAAATCTCTCAGAATTAAGCCAGCATCTTGAAATGCTATATATCATAATTAGAATTTGCATGCTCATAATTGAATTGGTTGTTATATAACTTATATTTTGCTTAGAACTATATTTTATGGGCCTTGTCGTGGCCGTTACCTCCTAGCTTCAAGGTTCTAAAAGACACCATGCACTATCCTGGCTTCAAGGTTCTAAAAGACGCCATGCACTAGTCGGGCGGCAGGCTGGGGTTTAATGCCTAGATGCCCAGGCAGGAGCCTAGAAGAACTTGGCAAATTTATGTAAATCTATTATATTTCGTATAACTAAGTGCCTATTTATGCTTAAAAAACTTCATAATTGTATCACAATATATAAATTGTAAAATAAAATGACATATAGATTATAAAATATTAAAAGATAATGAAATCATGGGGAACAAATGTATAATGACTGTTCATCCAAGTATTCAGCAAGTCCCTTACAAATTTTTAAAAAAAAAACGATAAAATGCACTATGAAATTTATCAATCTTTTGTCTAAATGAGAGTCGTGACCTAGGAGGGTGCCTAGCCAGGTCTAGGTGGGTTAGGTAGACGCCTAAGCAGGTCTAGGCTGGATAAACGGCCACCTAAGCAAGTCTAAGAAGGATAGGCAGACACCTAAGAAGGACTAGGTTCCCTTTCTTAGTTTTCAAACGCTTAGGGAAATCGGAAGGATGGCTAGTCGCCTAGCGCCTAGGCGGGGATTTTTAGAACAGTGTTTGGGCTAGGCTTGTTTGTTGGAAACAGACCAGCTCATTAGGAGGCAAGTTTTTGTTTGTAGCTTGGTCATCTTAGCCTTTCTAGGCCAGCTCATTAGCGATGACGTGCGTGCGATGGAGTGGGTGCGACGGCGTAGGAGCGAGGACGTGCATGCGATGGTGTAATAAATCAATCTTCACGTATTCACCAATCCCCCTCTCTCACCACCTTCTCTATGATCCAACAATGGCGACTTCAATTTCCAAGCTCTCCAATCCCACCCCTGCTTTGTCCTTGTCAGACCTTCAGCCCCAGAATGCTGCAGCCCAAGTGTTCGATCAACCTCCTTGCCACCCCCGCCGCCACCTTCAACTCCAAAATCTCATCCTCCAAGCTCTCCTTACGAAGCAATTATTCTCTCTGTCTTCTCCTCTCTCTCATAATTGTTGAAAGTTGTCCCACATTGGTAAGGGAAAATGTTTGCTATGTGCTTATATGATCTTGGGCTACTCCTCATATTACCAATTGGTTTTATGGTGGAACCCCAATTTCATCAATAATGTCTCCGGAATTAAATTTTTATTTTTTTGGATATATAAGAAAAGAATTTTTCTAAATGTTTTTAATTTTTTACAAAAAAATATTTTTTTTTAATTTTTTTAATATCCACGTGGCATCAAGTCATTATCCGTATGGGTACCAGAATTATGAAAGTATCCCATAATTATGACTTAAGGTACCAGACTGGGATGAAAAAAAACTTGATGTATGAAATGTTGAAAACCAAGAAACTTCAAGGTAGTAAACTGAGATTAACCCAAAAAATTTCTCTTAACCCTTGTATAACATTATTTTTTTCTCTCTTAACCCCAATATCACTATTTATTCCTATAGGATCACACCACATATATTTTTATTTTGTACCTAATCCTCTCACTTTTTTAAAATATAATATATTAATTAGTTTAATTTTAATTAACTTGTATAATAGATAATAATTTTACTTAAATCTGCCTAATTCGTCTAGAACCCGCCTAGGCACTAAGCACCAACCTACACCCGACTAGCGCCTAACATTGTTTAGAACCTTGCCCACAGTCCCTTTCTCTGAATCTCTGCCCTGTGTGTGCCAATGATTGGCTGCAGCCTTAAACATTCAACCGACAATAATAGCCTTGCAGTTACGTACGTAATGGAACGATACTATAAGAAATAGTGCTTAAATCCTCCTTCAAAATCTTCGGGTGGTCAGTTTAATACTTATGAGTTATTGGAATATAGTATAGCAATAGATGTTGCATTTTGTTGTTACTGCTATATTTTTAAATGTGATTTTGATAAATCGAGAAATGTTGGTAGCCTAGTAGTGATGTCTTCACTGAGAAAGGGTTTTCAAATATAACTTATATGTATTGATAAATTAGGATAATGTTATAAAAGAACTTGGTTGTTGTCATTTTTTTTAACTTTGCACTCTTTTAAATTCGTCCATCTCTCCACAGTTTATGGCTTCGCCGCTGGGAAAGATAAACCTGCCATCCCATGTGGTTGACATTTGAATCAAAACCTGTATGAAATTGCAAAACAACCAAATCAAAGATTTGCTATATTTAGAAACTGGAAAAAGATGGCTATTAGGGCCCCACTTGGGAAAAACCTTGGGTGCAATTATGAAGCCCCATACCGACGTGCCTCCCTAAAATTAAGGATCCATCTTGATCCATCCCGTTGATTGGAACAAAGCAAAAGGTCCCAAATGCCATTGCTAAATTTAGCAAAATCTTTATTCTCCACCCCATCTTCTTCCCCGCACAAAAATTAGCGCATGAAATTTTGGTCTTAAAAAGATGCCTCCATGAGATTTCTCACCACTTAACAGAACGTCGGTCACTTTCAGATAAAAAGACCTATGGCCGTACAATAAAAACATGGATTCGGGTGTGCGCTTGCCCTAATCATTGCTCTCCATCCCTCCAAGCAAGGCAAAGAAGACTATCATCCCTTGCTTTATAGGCTCAACAAGTTCCTTAGAAGGACTAAATTTTCCTTTTGCAATAAAATGATTAACCAAAACAAGGGCGCATGCTCTACAATGTGGCCTTGGATGGACTTGTCAATTTCTATCAATTTTCCCATTAGAAGTACTGCTATGTTAACCTCAGAGTTGTCCCAATGCACAGAGGTTAAAAGATAAAAATGCAAAGAGGTCTTCCTACTTTAGTATCGTAATAATTTGTTTTTAATAAACTAATGAAATTAGACAACTTTCCAATTCGATCTATTAATCAACTCACAACTGTATAAATTTGAGGCACATCATATAAGATTTAGGAGAAAAGAATTTGGTTCTTTTTTTGTTCTTTTTTGCCCATAATATGAAGAATGGTAAATTCTCAACTATGGGTTGAACGACACTATCATACCTCATCTTTTAAAATTGACAATGTCATACCTCATCTTTAGAATTTGTTTCAATGTTATACCTTCGTTAGTTTGTCTGTGAATTTCTCAGTTAAATGCTGATGTGGCTTGATCCGAAGCCCAGTTTCTCGCCCAGATGGATTCCACATGGCGCCAGACCCATTACTACACTCATTCCTCTGTCCTTTTCCTATTCACTCCCATTCGAACCTGCCAAATGCCCAAAACCAAGTCTTTTATTAAAATCGTACCCTCCTTCGATTTCCCCTTCTATTTGTTCCTATTTGCCAATCGAATCCTCTGGACCGCCAATCACAATCACAATCACCAAAATTCCCCCAAATCACCATAAACAAACACGAAATTGAAGCAAACCCAAATTCCAATAGATAAATTATGGAATTACATTGCATAATGATTCAAAAATTACCTTAATTTACACAAAAAGCTTCAAGATCTAACAAGAATTACATATCCAAAGTAGGGAAATTTAGGGAAAACCCCCACCGAGCGTAGTTCATCTTCTCGTAAAACCGAATCGAGAAAAATGAGAGCAACAGATTCACCTCATCCTTTCCTCCACCGAGTGCTCAGCGACTTTAGGTTCAGCATCGGCTTCCCCGAAGCCGTTGCCCAAGGCGAAGCAAAGGAGGACACCGTCGACGAGAAAGAAATGACGGAGCTAGAGGAGGAGAAGGCCTTGCTGAGACGCCAGATGTAGTAGGCGTGAAGCCGTCGAAACCCGCCGAGAGCAACGACCACATATCTTAGTTGTTGGCTGCCGTAACTAGTGCCTGGTGCATATCAGCTTCCGGAGCCGCTCATCCTCCATCATCTTGTGCCACTGCCTGCTCACACACAACGCCATCCCCAACATCCGCGCATCCACATGCTTGAACACCTTGAAGATCAGATTATCGTCCAGATTCGAAAACCCCACCCCTTTCATCTCATCCTGGTCGATGGGTGCCGATAGGTCCGAATGGGAAGATCCGAGACGAGG